GTTAATAATTTGTCTCTTTAAACAACATCTATCTTAAAACTCGGTATGTAAGTTGTCAGCCTGCTTGTAATACTACTTCCGAAGTAAAAGTCTAAAAATTTAAGTTACAGGATAAAATTGCCTTGGACATACTTTAAAAATTAAACATAGACATACCCTTGCCTAGTTCTTGCTTTATTTAAAGTTGCAAAAGCTGAAATTTATAAACTTTCCTGTAGCCTGGCAAAGATAAGAAATGTTTGTACAGTAAGTTCAACACCTTCCTCTCCTAAATTGGTAAAGCTACCCTTGGAACCATCAGGTGGTATGCAGTAGCTCCTTTAAAATATATTTTGAGACGTAATGGTCGCATCTACACATGCCCCTACGACACCATTGTTACCGCACCATGCCGGTGGTGCATGGTTATTTTTAGCCATGCTGTAGTGACATGCTATAAATAAGGGAGCATGAGGCTATGTGCCCGCTGATGTTACATCGCCATAGCGTGATGTGTAGATGCTCCCAGTGTCATCTTAACTGTGTGGGCAGCTGCCATCAACCACCCCTAGCAGATTATCATAAAAAGCTGAACGCTTCTCTGCAGATTTTTTTGTTACCGATTTAAAAACTCAGATTGTTTCAAAGTGTCACCTATTTTGAAATATGTACAAAGTTAAAATGAAGTTTTGAAATCCTGCATCAAGTCCCTGGAAATTGCTTCACAGATGAACTGGTTCTTAAAAAAAAAGAAAAATGTCAGTGATGTGCCAACTTTTCTAGAATATTAAATACCTATAAAATACTTTTACAATACCCAATTATAGAAAGCTTTCCAACTACAAAAATCATGGCCATTTTAAAATATGTTAAAGATTTTTATAATGATTCCCTACGTAAAAATAATTCATGAAGTATAGGGACATGTCTCTATACCCAACTTTTTTCCACCAGTTATGGCCCTGCTACACAAGACACTTAGTATGCATTAAATCTGTGTACTGTTATGCGGTATTAAAAGTCAGCATGCGTTCTAAGCAGTCACATGGTAATGTTTAGTACAATCTCTAACTTGCACAGCTCGCACTCCCCTGCTAGAAGACCAGCAAGCAGGCATCCAGACATACTTTGCTGAAATGCCTTTTTACATATTTACGAGAAGCCAAAAAAACTGAATGCAGAGGAAAATGCTGATTGTCTGACCGCCTTGCTGAGGATGGAAATTCCAATCCCTCCTTGGCCAGACCCGGGATCTCCAATGCCTCCTTGATCAACTGTCCCAGCTGGGATCAGGTATCTTGGAAATGGCAAGTGGCAGCACATAGCAAATCCTTCCCCTGGCCATCCTAGTCCACAAGCACTCTGTGCTTTGGCAGAGCGAGCTCCTGGCCCTGGGCCTAGTGCTATTTTTAGGGCCACAATGCCATCATGGGCATCATGCTGGTCCACTTGAAGGAGACACAACATCAGCACTGTGAATCTGATACTGGATGCTACCTTACCACTCCAGGGCATTACTGGTGATCTCAGACTGGTGAGACTGGCTTGTACATGAAACACAGCACATTCATGAATCTTTGCATTTAGCTGGCCACCCAGTCCAGTGCCAGTACCCCATATCTATCAAGATGCACAGCACTGATGATCTGGAATTAGATGTACACCAACAGCCTGTGTTCCATTACCAACCTGTTCAGCATGGAGCAGGCAACAACTGTGCTGTGGCTGGCCTTGACCACATTTAAAGGGCCTTAGCCAAGTTGAAGAAGTATGGCTAAGCAGAAGGACCCAAAGCCTGTTTTTGAGTGACCATAGTGTGAACCTGTGCAGATGTGCCAACTAGCTTGGTAAAAGTAAAGGAAGCCATCCACATCTAACTAATCACAATTAAACAAAACACAAGGCCTCAAGAGACAACACTATAAGGGAAGACCATAACTTAAATAATCCAAATACACTATATCATAGCTTTATCTTAAACTATTAGTAGTAGTTAGTTATTGAAGTAACCAAATGTATTAAATGTTATTTTGCTATAATAAATATATTGTGGTTAAGACGCGTAGGTAATTTGTAAAAACAAAACCAGCCTTGTCAGAGAAGACCATAAACTAAGGTAAAAAAGAACCAGGCCAATGTTGAACAGTGTTCCACAATGAGGAAGGAAAGGAGATAAGAAACCTTCCCTTTTATTTTCCCAACTATACAAATCCTTACTAATTAACACCTTTCAAGTCCACAAAGGATCTGGTTCAGTCCAGTTCCAAAAGTTTCAGTGAAACAGAAATTTAAATAAAACCAATCAGAAATCATTTATAAAAATATCAGAAGCAGCCATCTAAATACTAGGTATAGGCTGGAGGAAACATTGAAGAACTTGACAAATTCAAGACCTGCTGCAGTCAGCATGCCATCCTCCTCCCACCTCTTGAGTCTCCCCAGCTGGTATAGGTGAGAATCTATGTTGTGCTATCATGGGTAACCAGACAGATTTTGGAATACATACTTGTTTTCATGTTTTAAAGTACAAGCAAATAAAAGGTCAGACTGCAGATCGGTTTCTGCCTATTTTATCAGTAGCCTACCCAAAAGATTACCTGTGATCTGGGTAACAGTGCACAAAAGTGTATGATGCCACACTGGAGGAGCCAGGGACTCAATTCATCCAGCTCACGGGACCTGTGAGAGCTCATTGCTGGGTTTGAACAGCTTTGATGGACTGTGTGCATTGTGTAAGAGCCACTGAGGGGCCCACATACCCATTCTTTGCCCTCCTCGCTTTGCCTTAGATTACATGGTCACTTTTTTTTGGTCAATATTCCAGGAAGTCATGGACCACTGGGGTACCTCAGTAGCAATGTTAGGTGATCAAAATGGGTATACAACACCGCATATTCAGGAACTCCAGTTTCCAAGACATGATGAATTAGGGGGCAGTTCACCTCTGGAACTCTCACCGTGGATTTGAGTGCTCTGATCATTCTTCCCCTGATCATCATGGACCCTACATACCCACTCCCCTGGCTCATGAAGCTGTAAAATGGTCAGCTAAACCACAGGAAGCAGTTCTTCAGTTACTGGCTTAGCAGCTGCTGGATGGTGGCGGAGTGCGTGTTTGGGCACCTAAAGGCATGCTGGAGGTCTCTTAGGATTAGGGTGACTATACATCCCAGATTGGCCAGGACAGTCCTGGATTTCAGTCCTGGCTGGTCTGTGAAAATTAAAACGAGCGTCCCAGGCTTGGGGTGGGGAGGCAGAATGGTGGGAGCTCCAAAATAAGAAGCCTTAGCAGACAGCAAAATTTCCCTAATAGGTTAGCTTGATTAGTGGAATGGTCATTAAAAAGGGGATTGTTAACACATGGCGGGGGGTAGAAAAAGAGTCATTAACAGGGCATTGAATCACTGCCTGAACATTATTGCCAGTGGTGCCCTGCCCCCACCTCTGCCCACAGAAGTTGGAGAAGGGGGACGGTAGTGTCCCAGATTCCACATTGTCCCATATGGTCACCCTCCTTAGGGTCCAACTTGAAATCAGGCTGAGGAACAGTCACAGCTTCATGGCCACAGCCTGCACCCTCCACAATACATGCGATGTGAGAAGTGATGCCTCCCTCAACACAGGACGTGCTCCAGATAGACCCGCATCAGGGGAAGCCCCTGACACTTTCGATGGTGCCCAGGTTGAAGCAACATTCCTGACTGAGCATCCCAGACAGAGCTATCATTCTGATCACAAAGGCCTTAGCCAACTACTTTCTAAGACAATGTTCTTCTAGGTGGGAGGGAATCCCTGAGCAATTGTGAACCCTAGATTTGCTGTGCTGCACCAGCTCAGTAAACATGTTTCACGCTAACCAGTGGCATTAACATGGGGCACGCTAACCAGGGGGGAAAAAAAAATGTGGCCTGTAGGCCAGATGCAGCCCACCAGGCCATTCTATCCAGCCCAGAGGGCCCCTAAAAATTTTAGAAAATTAATATTTATCTGCCCCTGGCTGCCTGTCATGCAGCCCTCAATGGCTTGCCAAAACTCAGTAAGTGGCCCTCCACCCAAAATAATTGCCTGCCCCTGGCTTAACAGCACCTGTTGTGGAAGATGCATCAGCTGGGAAACCAAGAACGGAGTCCTTCATTGGAGGACTGCAAAGGCTGGCTGAGGGAGAGGGGGAAACAGAGGCATAGTAATGTACACTAGAGCTCATGAGGAGGTTTTTTCAGTACTCTGGCCAAAAATGTTGCCTACTCCTGGTTTACACTGTTTTTTTTTCCAATTTACAATTGTTTTATATTGCTACCATAAGTGATAAAACTGTTTTATAATTACTAAATGTTTTGATATTTTAATAACACAAGAGAGAAATGGAAAGGTGGAAAGATACCAAACAGGAAAAAGAAATCATGAAATTCTGTGACTATACCAACAGTAGCTACCCATGTATCAATGCATTTGATGATTGACATGCTAAGAAAGGATGAGGTGTGACAATCTGAGAGAACAGAAAGGCAAAAGAAGTAATTCTAAGTTGCAATACCATTGAAAGAAAAAAGGATAGGTGGAGTCAGCCACTCAAATAGCACTTGTCAGGAATCAAGATCAAAATAGGTGTCCTCATTGTCGAGGCTGAATCAACCAAGTTTTGCATCCATATCAAGTGACATGGGGCATTGAAAATGAAGGAAAAGATTAAGTAAATTGAATTAGATTCTACAGGAGGTAGACATAGCTGCACATGTAATATCCTCTATGATTTTTCTAGTTCAGGGACGAGATCAGAAGGAGTACATATTGTTCGATGACTTGGTGAATGGAGACAGAGTGAATGTTGGATTTGTATTCACAACAGTGGTCAGTTGCTAGTTTACCATAGAATTAAATTAGGGTAAGGATATGGGCATACTAAACCTAGGCATGGAGTCCTGCAGTGGAAGGACTAGGCAGAAAGCAAATAAAGGAACTCATTTCATAGCTGCAAACTTTATTTCCTCAAATAAATCTGTAATTCTGCAGACTATGCTAACCATGAAATTGTGTTAAACATGCTGTAGGTCATTCCTGGTGAACCCCAGACTCTTATCGACTGGTCTTCCTGTCACATGGGATGGTCCTTGGGATTCCTGTGGCATAGGTACATGTGTGTCTTCCCCTGGGTCTGAGCCCAGTAGCTCTATGGATTTTGATAGCTGCATCTCCATGAGTGGGTCTAAACTTCACACTGCCAAGAAGCTGGCTGGGGGCAAACAGCGCCACAGTCCATCCTTGTGTGTTGTCACTGAATTTCAGGTACGATGTTGCCCCTCTGCTGCTGCGTTGCAGGCACCTGGAAAGGTGGTGGTGTTTTCTGTCAACCAAGGAAAGAGTAAGCAAGGGCCACCCCAGCCAGATCTGCAGCTCAGACCTCCACTCCCTGCTTGGCATCCAGCTAAGTTGGGAGATGCAAGGCTCCTGGAGGTCAGGGCAGCTGGAGTATGGGAAAGCATGCAGAGAGAGAGAGGCTGTTGCTAGGAGTGGTGGGGAGTGGGGTGGGTAGACTGGATTTCTACTCTACACTTCACATGAAGTAACCAACCCTTAACTAGGCCATTGAGCACCCTAACTGGCCCATCAAGCTGCAACTGGGGGCACTGAGCCCTGTACAATTGCCATTATCGAAGCATAGGCGTACCACTAATTCTCACCTCCCCTGAATTGTGCAGAACACAATGCTCCCTCCCTTGTGCTCAATTATAGGAGCAGGGGACAATCTGCACTGATTGCAGTCCTTGCACCTAGCCACTTAGAATCACAGTAAATTAGGGTTGGAAGGAATGTCATAAGGCCATCTAGTCTAGTCCAGTGCTTCTCAACCTTTCTCCTACCGGGGCCCATTTCCAAAGATCCATGACCTGTCCCTACCCACACACCCCTGGCCCCGCCAGTGCCCAACCCCCAGTCGTGAGCCCCCCCAGGGCCATACTTGTGTCCCTCACTCCCAAGCTGCTGCCCCCTGACCCACCAAAGGGGCCCCCAGTTGCCCCAGTCCCGCTCAGGCCAGAGTGCAGTGGCTCTGGCTCATGCGGGCGGCAGCAGAGTGAGTCCAGCCCCAGCACAAGGTGGAGGGAGAAGAAAAGGCCTGAGCTGTGGCTGCTGCACTGCACCAGGCACCCTGATCATGGCCCCTTCTGCCCCCCCGAGCAGTCTCCTAGCCACCCCACCCCCATGTGCATGGGCATCAGCTCAGGTGCCACCAGCCCGGCCACACAACTCTCCCCCATCCCTTCCCTTGCTGGAAGGGGCATGCGCCTTCCCGCCACCCCTCTGCCCTCCTGCAGCTCGTAACCCTTTGAAATATTCTTGCAACACACTTTTGGGTTGCAACCCATGGGTTGAGAAACGCTGATCTAGTCCAACCCCCTGCTCAAAGCAGGACCATCCTCAGCTAGATCATCCCAGCCAAGGCTTTGTCTAGCCAGGCCCTAAAAACCTCCAAGAACGGAGACTCCACAACCTGTCTGTGTAACCTGTTCTAATGTTTTACTACCCGCCTAGCGAGAAAGTTTTTCCTACTATTTAACCTAAACTCCCCTTGCTGCAACTTGAGACCATTGCTCCTTGTTCTGTCACCTGCCACCACTGAGAACAGTCCAGCTCCATCCTCTTTGTAACCCCACTTGAGGTAGTTGAAGGCTGCTTTTAAGTCCCCCCCTCAGTCTTCTCTTCAAACTAAATAAACCCAGTTCCCTCAGTCTCTCCTCAGAAGTCAGTGCCCCAGCCCACTCACCATTTTCGCTGCACTCTCTACAACTTGTCCACATCTTTTCTGTAGTGGGAGGCCCAAAACTGGACAGTGTTCCAGGTGTGGCCTCACCAGTACTGAAGAGAGAAAGAATCACTCCCCTTTATCTGCTGGCAATGCTCCTACCAATGCAGCCCAGTATACCATTAGCTGCCTTTGCAACAAGGGCATACTGTTGGCTCATATTCAGTTTACTGTCCACTGTAACCCCCAGGTCTTTTCTGCAGAGCTGCTGCTTAGCCAGGCAGTCCCCAGCCTGTACCAGTGCATGGGATTGTTCCATCCCAAGGGCAGGACTTTGCAAAAGAGATTTATCAAAACTACAAGGGCTGCCACTTCCAGCTGGGAAGCTCAGGGCCATACAGCAAGGCTGGAACTCATGACCTTCTGATCTGTGTCAGTAGTCTGGTCCCCAACTTGTCACACAAGCCCCTTGGCCACACATCCACAGGCAGAGGAACCCCCAAGGCATAAGCCACCCCATAGCCCCAGACCTCCCCCCCAGTACACCACAAGTCACGTTTCCCCACTACCCTCCCCCAACGTTGCTGAAACTTACCAGGTGGTGACAAGCTGTCCATTTACAACTGTTCAATGAAGATATCATCCATGCTGTCCCAATCTTCTGCATCCTGGGTCAGGTATCAGGTCTGGATGGGAAGCAGATCTACAGAGCAGGCATCCTTGTGCTTCTACATGGCCATTTTGGTACCAGGCAGCAATGAGGCAACTTGTCATTTTTGTCATCACACTGCACTATGCACACAGGCATACAGCACACCACATAATCAGGGAACAATAGCAGGTCCTCCTTGAGAAACTGGGACAGCCCCTTACAGCATGGGACCACAATCCTCACGATGCCTGAAACTTTGTGTTCGTGCCCCAAACACACAGTAACTTCAGGCACTTGATTTTCATGCTGCCAGTCCCATTGCTGGCTGCAAGCCACCATCTGACCCATGATACACTTGTGGATCGCTTGGTATCAGGTGGCCTTTGTGCCCTTACCAGTAGAAATGGTTCTCTCCAATATCTCATGCCTCCAGTTCAAGGCCTGCCTTCTAGGGTACAAGGTAGAGGTGCACCAATATATAATTTGCCTATCGGATTGACATCGATTAAAATGGGAAATGATATTATCAGCTAATGGCCTTTTTTGACCATTGTAGCCAATAATGCTTAACAATAATAATGCCTTCTGTCCAGGGCCTTGGGCACCTGGGTTCCCTCCCCCCCACACAGCTAGGGCCCCCGTATGCCTAGATTCCCTCAGGAAATGGCAGGTTTCCTTTTGCAGGCAGGCAGTATTCTAGCCTGCAAGGGGTCCTGCTTGAGGCTGCCAAAAGCAGGATGCAGGGGGCCCACATGCATGTGAGCAGCCACATGCATGCAAGTAACCAGGAATACAGCTGGGCAGCATGGAGAGCACCTCCCTGCAGGTAAATCTATGAAAGAAAAAGGGGCATGAGGGCTGGGGCAGGGAGCAGGATTGAGTCACAGGTGGCTCATCCAGAGGGAATGGGGGGTGGGGCTCCCCACCACTGCATGCACACCTCAGGGGAGGCAGGCATGTGCTCCCCCCATATTTGAGTGCAGGGCAGATGGGGGTGCTTGCTGTGGGCTTTGGCTCTCTGCTCTGCTGCCTTTCCCTCAGGAGCCCTATGCCAGCCACGTGCTCCATGACCACCCAGCAGCAGTGGGGGTGGCGAGTTGTGCCTCATGCTGCCAGGCAGGCAGGGAACATGCAGCCAGTGCGGGGCTCCAGGGCCAGAGGTAGCAAGGCAGAGAGTCCCAAACCTACAGCTGACAGCCCACATCCACCCTTGTCCTGCTCGGCTCTGCTCCAGACGTGATGGGGGCAGGTTGGGAATGGGGAGCAGGGAGGAGAAGGCGGCACATGGCACCCTACCCTCAGCCCAGCCGGGTCCTGCCCTTCCTAGGGCCAGGTCCATCCAGCCTCCCCCACAGGGCATAGAGGCTTCCCTGCCCTTGGCAGCAGCAGCACCAGGAGGGGAAGGGGCCCTTCCCCTTGCTGGAGTCCATCTTCCAGGATCTGGGATCAGCTACTAGGGAGGAGTGGCCTGGTTCTCCAGGCCTGGAATAGTTCCATGGCCCTGTCCTGGGCGGAGGGAAGAGAGTGGAAAGCCTGGCCCAGAGCCCATCCAGCCCTGGACAGCCAGGAAGGTTCACACCTTCCCCCTCAGCCCTGCTGGGTAGGCTCAGGCAGTTGCTCCTTGGCACTTTCACACATGCTCGGGGGGGGGCGGCTTTAAATTAGAGCACTTCTGAGAGTCGCTCTAATTCAAGTGCCCCATCTCATGTATCAGCATCCCCACACTTAAAAGCAGCAGCACTTGAACGAAAGCTCATTCTATGAGTTTTCGTTCAAGTGCCCCCACCACCATTTTTAAGAGTTGTGACACTAATGCGTGCGACGCAGGAGGCCGCTAGAGTGTGCCAAAAAAGGCGGTGGGGGGAAGAGGGGTTGTGTCAGTAGTTGAAAATGCCTTGCATTATTACTGAATATTAGTTAACAGATCATCACTGACCAATATGGTTGGTTAAACCGGCTGTCAGTAAATCGGCCAAGAAAATCTTTATTGGTGCACCCCTAGGTACAAGGAGGATAATTCCCTGGCTCTAGTTCTCAAAGCTAGTTGCTGTTCACACTGGAGCACTTAAGCAAGACTGGCAGGCCTCAGTTAACCTTGAAGATGTCAATGGGTGCTCAGGGTGGTGGCATGTGGGCTGCAATCACGCTCCCTGTGGCCTGGTAGAGGTGCTGGCTTGGGGCTAATACCAGCCCATGGACAGTGGAGTTCAGGGTGGTGAACAGATGTAGAGGGAGGAAGAAGCTGGAAGCAGTACGTGCTAGGATGCTGGAGGACTGCAAATTGCTTGTATTATCTGCATGGACCAGTCCAAATGATAACTGAATACATATTACTTAAATACATTCTGAATATACTCTTCACATGAAGAGTCACAACTGCTATAATATGAAGTACCCTCAGCATGTAATTTCCTACTTGAATATACAGATATTCACATTAAGTGAGTGTAACACATACTAAATGTAAATGGTATGTTTAACACGCACTAAGTATAATGCTCGACATGGCCCTTACTGTTTTGTTGATTACTACAAACTCCATTTTCCTGTTTTATTTAAAAACCAATAATAAAAATAAAAAGAACCTCAATATTGTGAAAATAACATTAAGGAGTATTTATGTGGTTATGAACAGAAGTTTCCATTTATACACATTTTTTAATTGACAAAAGGAAAAGTAAGTGCTATTTCCATCAATTTTAGAAGTTAACTGCAGTCAAAACAGTTTTTAAAATAAAATAGTTTATTTGATATGCAAAAGCTGTATTTATTTTGTTCGTTCCTTACTTAAAATTTGAATAGCATATTAAATTAATGGGAAAAAAATATTTTGGATGCGAGGGGCCATAGAACTCTTAACATTTGCAATTCTTGTTCAGAAAAATAAACACACGCAATTCAGAGAGGGAAGGGGCAAGTGTCGATTTTTCATGCACTGTCACA